AATAGGAACAACCTAAGATAAGAGCTCAAAGGTCTCTTGTTATTCCAGTATGGTCAAATAGTATCTTGAAGATATCAGTAAAGGAGACATATGCTCATGAATTTTAAGTTTTTTTTATTTGCTTTACATTTTTTTCAAGATAAAACAAGGTGTAATCAAAGTATACACACAAATTGAGTTGTACGATTCCTTAATGCTTTCTGACTCTTCCTCAACTGTTCCATCCCATCAGGTACGCAGCTTTCCCTTTTTCATTTTGGATGGTTTAGTTTCGACGATTTGTTTTCGTTTATTAGACTTTGAAGTCACCCCAAACAGCAAATGTGCTTACAATCTAATGTCTTTGGTTCTTTTGCAGTATTATTACATGACGCACAACAATTACTGTCTGAAGCTTCCTCCATGCTGGCATTTCTTGGTGTGCATTACCCACTTATGTTATGCTGGCTTACAAGTGAAATTTATGCTTGTGAATGAAAATGATATTCTCGGTTGTCTGTTATTTAATCCATGTGGAAACACTGTTTGGAGGTCTCTAATCCAAAATTCTTCTCTATTTTCTCTTTCTCTTAACATTCGCATCTCGCTTTCCATTAAGCAACCTACCACTTTCTTCAGTTTTTTCAACAATCTACAAAATATCTGACTAAACTGCAAAATGTGAGGAAAATTCATATTGTTTGATCCTTTCTGGTGTTTTATTAGGCTTCTATGGTTGTCAAACCTCTTTCTAAGTTGTTGTAGTTTGACCAACACATTGCATACTGCAGCATCTACATGTAGCCAGATGAATTAATAAATATTATCGATCTTGCAATTCATGTCTTGTCTCGATATTTTATATTTCTTTCCTGCTATAGTGGATCTAATGTAATTGCCTTCTTGAAAATATGAGTATAACTTCCACCTTACTTCATTGCATTTTCTAGATCCAGGAAATGTATTCCTATCTCTAATTGAAGGCAATTGAGTTGTACGATTCCTTAATGCTTTCTGACTCTTCCTCAACTGTTCCATCCCATCAGGTACGCAGCTTTCCCTTTTTCATCTTGGATGGTTTAGTTTCAACGATTTGTTTTCGTTTATTAGACTTTGAAGTCACCCCAAACAGCAAATGTGCTTACAATCTAATGTCTTTGGTTCTTTTGCAGTATTATTACATGAAGCACAACAATTACTGTCTGAAGCTTCCTCCATGCTGGCATTTCTTGGTGTGCATTACCCACTTATGTTATGCTGGCTTACAAGTGAAATTTATGCTGGCTTACAAGTGAAATTTATGCTTGTGAATGAAAATGATATTCTCGGTTGTAGCCAGATGAGTTAATAAATATTATCGATCTTGCAATTCATGTCTTGTCTCAATATTTTATATTTCTTTCCTGCTATAGTGGATCTAATGTAATTGCCTTCTTGAAAATATGAGCATAACTTCCACCTTACTTCATTGCATTTTCTAGATCCAGGAAATGTATTCCTATCTCTCGTTGAAGTTTGACCCCCACTCGCTGTCATATTGCAGGATTACCTCCAATAACCTAAGGCAATATAACAATGACTTCTTCTTTAAACTGGAGAGTTTTTTTCTCCACTTGCAGCATTTGCAACTAACACTAAGGGATGTTACATATATAACGATGCTCTATACTTGATTAAAGATAATATCAATTCTGTTATAACATCATTATTGATAATAGTTTTTTTTCTAATTTTCACTTAAGATATACAAAGTTAAATGTGATTTTCACAATACACAATTTTGTGTATTGTAGGAGAATCTTGTAAAGAATCTCTCGTACCATTATACATTATTTTGGACATCTTGTAATATATAAATACACTGTCCCACATGTTTTGTTAATGAGCAACAGAAGCATACAATATTTAATTAATACTAGGTTTTAACCTATATTATAATATTATAAAAGTCATTTATGGTAAGTTTAAAAATGCACATCATATATAAAAGCAGGTGGCAGCACAATGTGTTAACTTAAATAACATGGGAAATGCTATAGAATAGACGTGTTTCATTATCTGGTATCTATTGTGAACATTCGTTATGCAGCTGTGCAACGCACTTATATTCCTTCAAATTAATTGTCAGCACAATGTCTTTCTTGTCAAGTTGAGAGTCTGAACTTGTATCATGTGTATGTTTTTTCAGAGAAGGTTGTGTAAGATTTTGATGGTCAGCAAAATATTTGCTTGAACACGCCCGGTGATCGTACAAAAATGATGGAGGGGGGATAAGGCGATATCTGCAAGAAAACTCAACAAATTTGGAAGATTTATTTATATTTTTGGAAGATATTATTTATTTTTTCAAGAGAAAATTTACAATTAAATTGCCAAATGAATAGGCGCAGTGCATGGCAAAATATGTTAGGTCATCTAGTAATTTTTTTGAACTGATACCCTTCTAAGATATGAGATCTATTAACCCTTTACCACCCGGCCCATTTTTGACGTTATACTACCCTTACCACCCAGCCGATTTGCTCAAAATACAACTTTTGGGAGCACTTTTGTTACAATTTTTAACTGTCTTGTAAATGGTCTTAATCAATGATGCGTGGTAGTATACATTCATTTGGTACAATTTTAAACTGTTCCCTTAGATTTTTTATAAATATTCTAAAGAGCGTTGTCATAGCAACCAATAAAACATGCCTAATAAACCCTCGATTTTAAGCGGATTTTGGGATTAATTCACACATATTGAAAATCAAAAATTAAGAATTGCTATAGTCATTGCGACAAAAAAGTTACATTTGTCTTAATACATTATTTTCTTTCTTAATTCTATCATTTGACTGCATTGTACTGCAATATAATAGGCTGTTCAATCTAATGTACTCACCAAAACTTATTCTAAAGTGAGAAACATTATGTATGAATTTGAAAATACAGTAAGATGTTTATTTGTCTTGTACATGATCATAATCAATGATGTGTGGTGTTATACATTCATTTGGTACAATGTTAAACTGTTCCCTTAGTTTTTATAAATATTCTAATAAGCGTTGTCATAGCAACCAATAAAACATGCCTAATAAAACCCTTGATTTTAAGCGGATTTTGGGATTAATTCACACATATTGAAAATCAAAAATTAAGAATTGCTATAGTCATTGTGACAAAAAAGTTACATTTGTCTTAATACATTATTTTCTTTCTTAATTCTATCATTTGACTGCATTGTACTGCAATATAATAGGCTGTTCAATCTAATGTACTCACCAAAACTTTTTCTAAAGTGAGAAACATTATGTATGAATTTGAAAATACAGTAAGATGTTTATTTGTCAACAATAATAACAATAACATATAAAAACAAATATTACTGTAATAAGACAAAATAAATTAGTGTATTGTAAATATAACAGCTCACTGGGCGTGTATTAGCCAACGCAATAATTTTATATTCCTCGCTATATATTTATGTTTCAGAATACCATACATTCATGAAGAAATATAGTATGACATTACAAACACAAAATAAAACTATAGTGTGCTTGAAGTATCATACCACTTACAATAACTTTTCATTCTTCACAAACTCTTATTGAAAGCCCATGTTATTATACACCATAATATTTGTAACAAGTTTGATATTAGAAACACATAAAACAAAACTACAATGAGTCTGTAATATCATACATGCTCCACTTAGCTTAGTCATTGTTCTTCATTCTTTAATGCATATTGTAACTTTTGATAATGTGTGACAATACTATTAATTAATAATAAACCATAGAGTATGATATTACAAACACAAAATAAATGTTTGTGATATCAAACCACTTAGGTTATAGTCATTACTCACAAAATAGCTTTTCATTCTAATTAATATTGTAACATATGGTACTGTGCCCAGTTCTATGAATTCATAACTATAGAGTATAATATTGCAAATACAAAATGAAATTATAGTGTTTTTGTTATATCATACTACATGTACTTAGTTTATAGCCATAACTGACAAAATAACTTCCATTCCTCACTAATATTTTAACTATTCATTATTTTGCGATTGTATATTTGTAAACATGATATTACATATTACAAACACAGGGTGAAACTTTATTCATGTTAGTGTGCTTGTAATATCATATCACTTAGCTTACAGTCATTACTGTAAATTTAACCATGTTCTTAATATCATACCACTTAGCTTATGGTCATTACTGACATAATAGTTTTTCATTCCTCATTAATGCTGTAACTTTTGATAATGCACAACAATACTATTTCATGTAATTCATAAACTATAGAGTATGATATTACAAACACAAAATAAAAAAAGCGTTTTTGTAATATCATGCCACTTAGGTTTTAGTCATTACTGACATAATAACTTTTTATTCCTCATTAATATCATAACGTATGACTTTGTGCCCAGTTCTTTTGATTCATAACTATAAAATATGATATTACAAACACAAAATGAAAATATAGTGTGTTTGTTATATCATACCACTATTCCTCACTCATATTGAAACTATCAGTATTTTTGCAATTGACTATTTGACTATATGAGTATGATATTACAAACACATGACAAAACTTTAGTGTGTTTGTAATATCATACCACTTAGCTTATAGTCATTACTGACACAATTACTTTTCATTCCTCATTAAAATTGTAACTTTTGGCAATTTTGCAGTTGTAAAATGATAAGTGTGATATTTCAAACACAAAATAAAACTATAGCAGTAATGGACTAGAATGTTTGTAATATCATACCACTTATATTTAATAACAATTACTGAAACGATAAAGTTTTAGTGTGTTTGAATATTACAAACACAAATTACAAAGGAACATAATGAGTCTACAGCATCATACTCCTTAGCTTAGTTTCAACAACTTTATACACTGTTCATTCTTTGACCACATATTGGAATTTAATCTATTTTGCAATGTCATGCACATGTATGTGTTATTACATAATCAGTATTCTATTATGTAAAATGTTGAGTGTTACATTTCAACTAACACATCCTGACTAACTCAGTCCATATTTCATGTGCTATGATGGATGTATGATGACCTAAATACATATGCCAGTATTACAGACTAATGCAGAGATTGCGCTATGTGAGGAATATAGTCAGATAGTATGATAAATGAGAATTCTACAGACCTTTGCATTTCATTTCATCAAACCATGCCTTTAACTCACTCTCCATACGAATGAGGCACTGTATTTTAGTTTGGAGGCTTACTCAGTTTGACAAATTAATTGCACTATTCTTGCCTTACCAATTCACCTGACGAAGTTTCTTTCATTCATTGACTTAAATTGACTTATTGGTACATGTGCAGTCTCTTATCTTCAGCCTAGTTTTCACAAATCCTCTTTAACTTTCTCTTATTTGGCTTGCCTGCCTTTGATGGATCATCATATTCATAGTTGACCATATTGTGATACCTGAAACATAAAGAGCCTGAGATACATATAAATATTGAACAGTGTGACAACAGACATGACAGATGGATAAAATAAATGTTCATATAATTTTTATGATGTCAACACCAAGAAGTGATGACATATTGTTTTTTAATCATTTTTTTTCATTTACAATTTTACATTTTAATATGTTCTACCTAAAAAACTGTAAAATTGATACTAAAATGGCGGCCATTTTGAAACTGGTGGCTATTTTGAAAATTTACTTTTGAGCAGAAGTTGTACTCAAATGGGGCATATCAAATTGCAGGTTAATTGGTTCATAAAAATATGTTGAGAGAAATTATATATTATATTATATTTTTATCAATGAGTAAAAGTGAAAACATTTACCATAAAAACATACCTGAAAAAGCAAGGATCTTGACACATCCTGACTTTACACACCCTGCAAGAATACTTTGTGTCACACTTCTGTTTGTGTACAGTGCACCATGATGCTGTACTTAGCAGCTGTGGGGCATGAGCCATCTCCCTTTCATGTCTAATATCAGGATTCAGAATGACGCGTTTGTGATTGTTCATCATCATGCCATTGATGAGTCCAGTGGCTACTTCCAAGTGGAATTTCCTCTGTGGCATTGAGGCTACCGTGTGAAGCTTTGATAAAATAAGAAAATCATGTGAAGACATTTTGAATCAGGTGTAGTCACACTTTTTTTTTACTTTGGTGTACATTCTAAATGAGGTAACATTGTTATTCTACAAAATGTTTAGTACATACAATTGAATCAGCTACCATAATGCATGTTGAAAGGAATGAATTGCCCTAGTAAAAAAGAGATCTAATATACCACTAATACATCATCAATAGATCACCAATACACCATTAAAATAAGAATTAGTCAAGTGTTGTGTAAGCCATGTATTAAAGCTGGCAATATTCAGCTAATAGATCACTGTAGGGTAGAAGTAGGGGTTTTAGGTTGAATGAGGTAATTAAGTTGTATAAGTTCTCTATAACAATACAGCTACTTTTTTATCTACATTTCAGCTCAGAGGCATTTCCAGAAGCTCAAGGGGATGCAAAAAATTGTGGGGCCCCAAAAACAAAAAATTTGGCCCAAATTTTTAAAATGTAAGGCCCATTTTTGAAAAAGCCTAAAAAGGCCTAAAATGCAATATCATGCCAAAAAGGTCCATTTTTGAGGCCTTACACAATTGCTGAGTCCAAAATATTCTGGGATCCTGGATCCGCCACTGTAGCTCTACCTTTAATACTGTTAATATTTATTACCTCAGTATGAATGATGTGTGCATTTACAAGAGACACCCTCATCAAATGGAAAAACACTTGTCGATACCATGTCCTATTTTGAAGTACCAACATGCTGATTCGCTACATCTACTCCTCTCATAAACTTGGTGTAGAGTTGCACAAGCTCAGGTTTACTAACTTCTCCCTTGACCCACCTTCCTCTTCTCCTAGGATAAAAATGTAAACAGTAGAAAAATAAACACCAAAAAGACTTAAAGGCAGAATCAGATATGTGAGGGTAACAAAATTACAAGAAAAATGTACAATTGACCTATACCAATCTATTCCTTACAATCTCAAATACAATATCTTCCAAATGATTCACAATATGTTATAAATTGGTGAAGTCATAATGGATTCAAAGTGCAAAAATGTGTGAAAATGATTAATTCTCCTAAATAATAAAAATGATAACCATTCTTATAGAAACATAATACATAATTGTAAAAATCTTTAGTTTTCCTGCGAACAAGTGTAATGCACACTTCAGGGATTTTTAGAAAATAGATGTGAAACGGAAGGACATAAACCAGAAATATTCTAAAATAGAAATAATTTTTTGTTCGGCTGCTTGCTAGATCTGATTCTCTCTTTAACTAAGATGAATGGTAGCATACTGTAATCAAATTTAATTTAATTCAAATTGAGGATGCTTATATCAAACCAGAAATGAAATATGTGCTGCATTATACATTTATTCAGTGCAGGGCTTATGTGCAGTTATTTTTATATTGCCTACCTTGTGAATGATGGCACCATGTTACATCCCTTAGTAATCTTTGATGTCAGTATAGATATATTATGCTCGTCTTTCCATGTCAGGACATATACTGTAAGACCACGTGCGCACCTTGTAAAATTTGTCATTACTATCATCAACAGCATTGGGGTGGGAGAAATGAATTTATCCATATATGGCCATAAAGAGGTTTTCGACATAACCTCAGATATACCTAGAGTGGAAACCAATCTATTTTCTTCCCAATAATCTGAGATGCTGCCTTTCTTTTCTAATACATCCATGGCAAATAGTATACCAATGAAGGCTTACAATGTGTCACGATCCAGAGGTTACCAGCTTTTATGATTTTGTTGTCCATGCAAGGTTGTACATATTTTCTTCCCAATAATCTGAGATGCTGCCTTTCTTTTCTAATACATCCATGGCAAATAGTATACCAATGAAGGCTTACAATGTGTCACGATCCAGAGGTTACCAGCTTTTATGATTTTGTTGTCCATGCAAGTTTGTACAAAGTACAATATAAGTCAACAATGAGTCAGTAAAAAAATAGTTTGTAAAGTTCTACGGGTTGTAAAAGTTCTCCATTTGTAATGTTCTTTGGTCAAGATGGACCTCCTGTAAATGGATATTCTTCACCAACATCATCAAAATCTTCCCACTCTTCATCGTCTTCAGATGAACAAGTTAATTGACTGTCATTTATTGAGGAGGAAAATTGACTGTTTTGACTAGATAATGTAAATTCATTGATTTTATCACACTTGATCTGGCTCTATTGCACATAATTGTAAAAATATCCTAAAGTGAAAATATTTCGTCTTCCAAAATTTCAAACCGGAAATCAACACAAACACAGTCCAAAATGATTCCCGTTCAACAGCATAAATATAGGTGTACGCAGTATCTTCACAAAATGCAGCATGATAAATATTTAATGAATAACATAAGGTAAACGTTGGTAACGAATATCTTGAACTGACATTCAGAAAAGAAATTTATAATTATCAAAATTTTTGTTTCGTGTTTTTTTATTTTGGCGCGAAATTTAAACTCCGAAACAAATTAGGTCAAAGTTGTACGTTTTGCATACTATCGATGAGTTTAGCTTTTATATGTCAAGGTAGACTTGTGATAAGTATATGCTGTTATTATGAAGAAACCATCTCCAATAGTATTGAAGCTATTTGGAAAAGAATTCTGACTAATTTATTTCCGGCACGCCCACTTTGTCATGACGCGCCATACATTTGTTTTTAAGTTTCTAAAAAGTTTCAAAAAGTTGACAGACCGTCAAATATCGCATCGGAAAGTAAATATATAATCAGGAAATTGATATTTCTTATTCATTTATTTCAAAGGATATTATGCCTATCGTTTGACGAAATTTCATTTCAAATGAGCCACGTTCGGCCCGGATATTAGGATTTTTCCAAAATTTTGATGAAATATTCAGCGACTATGGATATATCCGTAGTTGGGTGGTAAGCATGTGACGTCAAAACTACGGATATATCCGTAGTTGGGTGGTAATGGGTTAAGAAAGACGCATCATCACCAACGTGCAAAAATCAATGTTTTTGCTATAAACCAAGCAACAATGGTCTACACGACCTGTAATAAATAGGTATAAGGGACGTTATTATTAAGGGTCTAACGGTGCACCGAAACCGCGGTGCTCCGCGGTTTTTGAGCCTCGGTCTGTACGTTCGGGTCGAAAACTCTGATGTTCGGTTTTTTAACGGTTCGTTAATTCAGAAAAAAGTGCCGTTCGCTAAAGTAGAGGAAGATGAATCTCGAAACGAGAGGTGAATATTTCGGCATTCTAAACGCTCCAAAGTCGTACAAGGCCCACTGTTGGGGTTATTTTGGATTTCATACGAGAGATGGTGTTCCTTTCACGGAAAGAACGATATGCCGGCTTTGCAAAATCGTTATGGTACATGAGAAAGGTACGTGTGAAAAAATGCGAAAATTTGCTGTCTGCAGAAATAGAATAGGTCAGAGTTATACATGCTCCCGGGCCGCTTATTTATAATGATGAAATTGCGCCATCTTTTTATCATCACATAAATAAAATACAATACAAAGTTAATGATTAATTTGTTAATAAAACTTACTTAGATCAGAGGTATACATGCTCCCGGGCTGCTCATTTTAATAATGAAATCGCGCCATCTTTTTAACCATTGCATGAATGAAATACATAAACAAAGTTCATTTTTATTTAACTTCTATCTATCTTGCAGGGAATACATCTAACATGAATAATCACATCAAAAGGTTCCATGAAGCACAGGCTTCTCCAGCTGATCCGCCAGCTCTGAAAAAAACATTGTCAGCACCTTCAACTTTAACGTCGTCTTCCAGCTCTAGTTCATCTTCAACAGTAGGTTCTGGAACAGTACCTTTAATGATCCAAGCTAAGGCCATGTACCCCACTCATTATCCAAGAGCCAAAGCCATTTCGGAATAAATTGGCAGATTCATAGCCAAAGACATCCGTCCTACTCAGTTGTTCAAAATGAAGGATTTATTGATCTCGTGAATACTACAGATCCAAAGTATAAAATTCCATCTTGTAATATTATGCAACGTATTAAGTTTGCAGACTTAAACACCTTTCCGAGTTTGATGTTTATAGTTGAATACATTAGTTAGATGAAGTGTCAATTTGAGTTATTTGATTTTTTACATTAAAGTGCGATAAGAACCGAAAACCGTACCGAAACCGAACCGAGGAGATAAAAACCGTGAACCGAACTGAACCGAGGAATTATGAAACCGTGAGAGCCCTAGTTATTATCACAATCCTTATGACATTGCTCACTTTTTAAAGTTAGTTTCCATGCGTTATACAAAAAATAATTGAAATAAATCAATTTGGAATGGAGGGGGGGCATTTTTGTCTTTTTACCATGTCATATGCAGTGATTTTATATTTACTAAACTTACAACTACATAAACATATTTATTGTAACATTTCATAATGTTCATTATCATCATTGTCAATACATGAAGGATGTAATGATAATTCAATTTTTCCTCTTTTTATTATCTCAATCTGTTCAAATAATACACATACATGAGGTACATACTAGCCAGTACATGTGCTTCAAAGTTCAAACACCTACACTATAAGTCTGAGGCCAAAAAATCACAAATAAGTGAAGCAAGAGTCGCCTTGATAGGGATGTATTGGTCAGCTCATTTGCGCCTGACAACAAGTTCATTGAAACGCCTTTTAGCATCAGCCAAGTCAACTTCACCATTTACAGCCACGCGAATGAGTTGGTCCAGAGGCCCCTATCCAAGCCTTGCACGAGATTTATTCTTTATCCTTTATCCTATTTTGAATTTGGAATCCCCTTTCGCAACTAGCTGAGTTGAGAGGAATGATCAAGGCAATCTCTGCCAATTGAGAGTAACATGGAAAATCCATTGGATTTTGGATCAGCTGAAGACAATGCTTGGCCAATACGAGATTCCTTGCGAGATCTCGAGATGGTGGAGATGAATATGGCGGATCATTTTAAAACAAATATTTTTAAATTTTGTACAAAACGTCTCATAAAACATACATTCAGAGGATAAATAAGCTGCTCTGGGGTAAAAACGTTTCTACTACTGTTTGAGTGTTCTAAGAAGTATGATTTTTGGAAAGTGCTGTGGAAATAAAGTGTGTCCAAGGGACTCTGGAGTTTTTTATTTCTCTGTCCAACGTTATTTTTTGGGGTCCATCTAATGAAAGGACGACGTTAAGTAAAACATAGGTTATACTTGAGATAAAAAGGTCGAAGACAGTTATTCGTCTTCGGTTAAATTAGATTATAGGATGAAGACATACATCTGTCTTCAGTTATACTTGAGATAAAAAGGTCGAAGACAGTTATTAGTCTTTGGTTCAATTAGATTATAGGATGATGACATGAATCTGTCTTCTGTTGGACTGGAGATAAAAAATGTTACATGTAAACAATTTTTGTGGTATTTGTATGCAAAAGCAATTATCAAAGGATCATGTTTAGGTAAGAAATAAGTCAGCTTAGGAGCAAATTTCTGGCAGAACAGAACAGAATAGGGATGTGGATTTTAGGTTTAAATTGAGGTTTTATGGAAACACTGTATCACTTAGTAGTGGCTAAATACATGATGTAATTAAAAGCTGGGCATGCTCACTCAGTGATACATATGCCAGCATACAATCATGTAAAACATTTAAAAACAAGTCGTGCCAACTGCTCGATCATGGTGTGTACCATAGAAGTGGGTTAGGTGACAGGTATTCAATCGAGGAAAGTTGTTATACAGTTAAGTGACTGCATGCGTAAAATTACAGAAACAGATATTTCTGATATATTTAGTGTACTTTGATGAGCATAGATATAATTAAGTGTACTTTGATGAGCATAGAAACTTAAAAGAGCGGTTCATTGAAAATGCATCACCAGCGCTCAAGAAAATTTGCTTAGTATGATCTTTACCAGAATATCAACATGAATAAGTACAATTTAAAAGTTAAAAAGCCAAAATGAAATAGCACCTGTGATGGTAAACTGTCCATTTTGCACATATACACACACAGCAATAGAACAGTAGGGCTGAAGCCAAGATTAATGAAACAAGTAATTTGGAAATTTGAGTATCAGAGTGTTTTCAACCATGTGCAAAACGTTGTATAAACGTTCGTGACGTTACTTCCGAGAAAGAGATACCAATCTTTAAAAATGGCCAATGTTAGGCTATATAAAGTTGAAAAATATACTTATAAAATAATGGCATACATTTGAAAGGCCTATTAGGGGCGTATGAAACATAATCAAGATATAATTAAAAAAATAATGGATCCTGTTCACGAGACCTCACAAAACCCATATGGCGGCTTCCATGAAAAAAAACAAATTGATTGATTTCTGGGCAATCTGAACATAAAGAGCATGAAAAATAAAGCCACCAAAGGGACTAGAATGTTACACTGCCCCCCCTGTTAAGTAATGTTCGACCCCGAACATTCTCATTTACATTTCAAAATACAGGGCTAATAGAACAGCACAAGTTTCTAAGATTGTTCACCATCTCCAACAAGTGTCCTGGTTGCAGTACATCTCTAAAAATCACACTGCATCAATATGAAACATTACAAATGTTATGGTACAAGTTGTTGTTGCACTTAATCTCCTTATAATCAAAAAGCGTCAATATGACACATTACAATTGCACTTTCTGGTTGCACTTGGTTGTTCTTTAAAAATCACAAAGCGTCAATGGGACGCATGAAGCTCATTTATGGTGCTTGGTTTCAACAGTTCATATACAAAGGTGATCCTGATCCTGATTTGGATAAGTTTAAAACCCTTGGTTTTTTAGTAATAGTTTTTATAATCCATAGTGATAAAGGGTTTAACAATCACTTGTGCTTGGACTCGGCTACTCTAGTCCAATGGCCTGCTTAGAACTTTAAGTGATCTCCTGACCAGGTATCCCCTAGTTTAGGCCTGAATCTTGGTAATGGCCTTTACATGAGGTACATCCAGTTCTACTTCAGCCGGGTATCCATGATTAGATGGACCAACTGCGGCCCCTTTCCCAATTCCATTTCTATACCAGAGGTTGAGTTGGTACTCCCCTTAGGAGAGGAATAGCACTTCATTTTATCAGAAGAGTGTTTGATGGAAGATTTGTATCTCTTCTTTAGAGAAGAATGGGAAATCTGGATGAATATCCAAATGATTGTACCCTTGAGAAATGTCAAACATCCCCATATAGTCTTCCTTTTTTAATAGGTACTCTTTAAAGTAGAAATATCATTGAATTCAACCTTATCTAGCCTCATACGTGGAGTGATATGTCTGCAATATAAAACGTGTCTTTTATTTCCCTTTCCATTGATTGACACTGAGGGGATTAATTACCCTAGGAAGGATGTTGACCTCCCTTACACAGTTTTGTGAAACAAGCCTCTCTATATTTTCTCCTACAAAAGCTGCATTGTCTGAAGCTGATTTAGTATTTTTCAATATAATTGTTTCTGGTTCGGAATCAAACGGTATCTGATTTTGATTAGTGTCATAAACATATTTATTGGCTTGATTTCTTTCCAGACATTTTTTTTACTCCAACCGCCTTTGACATTTGTTATATATTTTACATCTTTTTTTAATTTTTTTTAACATATTATTTATTTCCTTCATGAACAAAAAATACACAAAATATCTACTACCAATCGCCATAGGCATTCTAGGTAGTTTAAATTACAATAGAGGATTAATAACAGTAATCATAGATGGTTATTGGTAATGTGAGAGGTTGGGAGGGAGGGGGGGTTGTCACAAGATACAAATGAGAAAAACTTTAATTTGACGAAAACTTATAACAGGCCTGTACAAATTGCATCACTATATCTATCAGGATTTTCTGAGAATCAAAAGTGAGTTCATTTTCATAAATTAAATATTTGACCTGTTCTGTCTTACTAGAAATAAGTCGAGTATAAATTATAGTATAAATTTTGTGCAGTCATCATTTTATTACGTTCATGGGTATGGTGAGGGCAGGTTAGAATGAAGTGCTTTGTGTCTTCAGCAGAGCCACAGAGGCATTTATTGTCAATTATTCCAGTAAAATTACGAGTAAAGAAATGGTCTTTAAGGGCAAAATCAACTCAAAGCCTATTTATTAGCAATTTTGGTTCTACTTAAATTTAGGTTTTTAGTTGGTATGAAGTTTGAAATAGGGATAAATATCTGTTTAACCTTTAGCGTGCTGCCGGCAAACGCGTCCGCCGAGACTTAAATGTCTTTCACAACTGCCGGCGGACCCGTACGCCCGATTTCAAACTTTTAAAAACTTTACTTTTTCGCGCCATTCGTATTGTCCAATTAGATTGCCCGATTTATTCAGTGCCTAACATGACTTCCTGTTGACCTAGAAATGGCGATATTTCGAAAAATAATTCTCAATTCAACAATTTAAACAGTGTTTTAGTCGTTTTTAGTGAACAAATCGTACAAAATGGCGGACAAATACGATCACAACGAAAATGTGGAGGAAATGGATTACGATTTCGAGCTCTTTAGGCTCTTGGAAGCCTAAAGATAAATGGTATATTTATGCCCAGTCGTGTAAATGTACGAAAAAAATTCATGAGAACATTTTTTTCATGAGCCAGGCCACTGTATCTTCCCTTTGTGAAAATTTTACCCAGATTCATTCAGTAGTTATTGAGATATTAATTATTTAGTCCATGCATATCATTTTTAGCACTGTTTGAAAAATAAGCCAGTTGCGTGGGATATATTTGCTGAAATAAGGCAGCATGGTAAAGGTTGATAGAGCTTTTTAATCTAGAAATGGTTTGAATTTCACGAAAAGTCAGGCTAAGCTGGTTCTAGTCATTTATAAGTGTTAAAACTGGTGCTTTGGAGAGTCTCATCATTTTACATCATTGATGTTTGGTAGACCTATACTCAACTTAGTTTCCAGGCTACTGGTTTGGTTGCAGCTGTTACAGACATCATTGCAGCTGTTACAGACATCGTTGCAGCTGTTACAGACATCGTTGCCTCTGTTTTGCTTTCCACTTCGCTGTTGTGAATAACCGAAGGAAGCTGGTATGGGATACCCTGTTGGTGCGATTCCTGCCAAGATGGTTCACTGTTGAGTTTGCCAGTTTCCTTGCTGTAGATTTTGTTGGTTCTGCCACTGACCCAGACATCTGCCCCTAAAACGGTTGTTCATGTTAATTAATTTAGTCCTTCTTGACTTCTTACTTTTTTAGAGTTAGATCTGTTTTGAGCAGACCAAATTTTACAGTCATCATTGCTATTGGAAGCCAATTCTTTTTTAGAATATTCCTCTACGGCAGCCCAGCCGTTATCGGATTCATCTGCTAATAATATGAGCTCATTACGTGTATCAATCAAAGACATATCTTAGTCCAGGGTGGACAATCCATACTGGATGTTTGGAACATCAGTGCATAAATACTCGGCTGTATATTCAATAGCAGCCTTCACATCCATGTTGTGTTTATACTGATGTTTGTGCCCCTTCTTGTTGAATTTTATATTGGTAGTTTTCAGCTCCTTGAGAATGGCACTCGAATCAGCAGACATTTCCCTCTTCAGGCTGTTAATCATTGTATCCAATTGTTCATATATAATTTCCCTCCATTGCTCCACGTATGTAATCTAATGCCGGCAATTTTGAATCGAAACAAACATTCAAAAACAACAATATTTTTCCCTTCAATTTCTTGCCTTTACACCAACTCTTCCTAGACTTACTTACAACATATATGACACATACTATAAACTTAAAAAACTATTTAGTTTATACTTACATTCTACACTGCAAATTACGAAAACACCCTAACAAAAATGAACCTGTTGCCGCTCCGAGGATTTGCTAGAAAAGGCCAAACAAGACATGATGACGTCATTTTTCAAATTCGGCCATCCTTCCGGAATTTCGGTCACTTTTTCGTCCAACTTTCCCAAGGCCCATAGCTAAAGGAATATCAAACTAAATAAATTACAGACTCCCTAATCCAATTAAACAAATCAATTTCATTAATTTTTCATTTATCACTTTCATGTACTGGCATTAAGTAGCTGGAATAGATTTTACTATTATGACATCATCACAATCGTTTGGAACAGAATATCAACAGGAAAATAGATATTTGAGTTCTGATTATCTACTTGTTTATTATTTTATGGTAAACTAAACGTACAAATTGAAACTGAAAAGGTTTGT